GGATTTGGGGAAAATAGTATAAACATTTATTACTAGTAAAACAAAAACTACTAATAAATTAAAAACTAAAGAACTATATCTACAACAATTTCTATTCAAGTTGAAGTGCTATATATTTACAGAAATACTTCTTCCCCTTTTATACTAGTCCAAGGAGAAGAAGTAGTCTCATTCTCTATTTTCAGAGTTCCAGCTCTCTCTCTCTAGTAATAGATCTTCAGTAGCAGCAGTATTCTCATTGCAGCTGGAACTTTTTCTCTCTCATTCTTGCTCTGTGTTGGCTTCTGGGGCTGGGCTTACCCCCCTCCTGGGCTAAGACCGAAGGCTGGGGGTTACCCAGGTCCTGAAGGGTCTTCCTTCCATAGGCTTGCAAGGGGACACTTGCCTACTATGGATCTTCTTCCACAGGGTTACAGGGGATAATGGCTTAAGAGTTCACCCCTGTTTCCCTGTGGAGGTCCCTCCCCATGGGAGAACAGTCCTTGATAGACTTCTCGGCATGGGTCTAGCACAGATCCACACACACACGGATTCCAACATCTCACATGGGCCGTCTCGCTCCAGCATGAGATTTCTCAGAGTTACAAAATCTTCAACAGCAGTATGGATCCACACACACATGGATCCCAGTATCCCACCTGAGTCATCACTGCTGCAGCACAGGTTTCCCTCAGGGTCACAAATCTCCACCAGGACTCTGCCTCACTTCAGTTCTTCTCATGAAGTCTCGGTTCTCTTTAGTACATCCACAGACTCTTCTATTAGCTGCATGGGGGGGTCTCCTTACTCCAACAAACTTTTACAAGTAGCAGGGATTACTTTTCAGTCTTTTCCCTGCTGAGGAGAGAGAGTGAAAAGGGGGGGGGGGGGGGGGGGGGAAACAAGCCCCCCCTTTCGCACTTTTCTTGCTGCAGCTTCAGCTGCCAGCTTTGACCTTGGAAGCTCCGTTATCTTTCGGCTGGAATTCTTCCACAGCAGTTTCTGTCCAAGCAGTTCGTCTTTTAAACTTTTTTTTCTTCACTCTCTTACAAGAGAGAAGGGAGGACTTCAGTGCTGCACCTGCTCCCCCCAACCTGGCCCAAGCCGGGGGAGGAGGGAGTCTGGCCCTGCTCGGGCCCGCTACTCCTCTCCCCTACATGGCTGCTACCCCTGATTTCAACTGCGCAAAAAAAACCTTCTCTTCCGTTTTCTTGAAAATGTAATTAGCAAAGGGGTCACTGGACTTTTGATTGGTCTTTTTGTCCGGAAATTACCTGGACAAAACCATCCTCAGCCCCAGGGATGGGCTGGTGGGCAAAACCACGGCAGATGATTAAAATGTCCTTCTCTAGTTTTTACAGTGGGGGGGCCAAGAAGTGGTGTAAAATGACTGTTGTGAGTGAGAGGAACCAGAAATGAGTGGGAGGCTGTTTCCTCCAGGGAATGCTGGGCATGAGCAGCAGAAGAGCTCTTTGCACGGGGTGTTTGAACACGGAGGGGTTTATAAGGTGCAAAGTGAGACTTGGGCAGGCACTGGGAGATCCCAAAAGCTCAGAGCAGGGCCATGCTGGAAGCCCAGAGCCCCAGCTGCCCAGCCTTGGCCTTCCCAGCCCTGCCTGCCAAATCCCTGCCCGTGCAGGGACAGCAGTGTGTGGGCAGATGGCCCTGGGAGAGCGTCCCATCTGCAGAGGCGGCGGGTTCCCACTGGCTCCTTCCCAAGCCCTTCCCAGCAGCACAGCCCTCACCTTGCCTGACCTTGGCTTTGCCATCTGGTGGCCCCGTCCCATCGTCCTCAGCCCCAGGCACAGCTCCTGCCGTGTCCTGGCGTGGCCCCGGAGCCAGAGGGGCTCCCCAGGGAAGGCTGTGCCGAGGGAGGGGGTGCTGAGCTCCCCAACCCATCACCCCTCCCTGCAACCAGGGGTGAAAGTCATTTCTCTCGTCTCCAGCCTCAAAGGCTTTCATGGGATGGTTGGGACTGAGCATCCCAGGTGGAGGCAGCAGAGGAGAGACACCACACTCGCTGTGACACCCCTGAACCTCCAGGGCAGGGACAGCCAGGGGGTCACAGCAGGTCTGCTGTGTCCCTGGTGTGGCAAGACCACGCAGGGAACAAGCACAGCACGTGCTGGTCCAGCTGCAGGGAGCAGGTGGGAAGGTCGCAGGAGCCAGAAGGAGGTGGGGATGGGCAGCAGGGACCTGGAGAGGTGCAGGTTCCTTTTCACCCTCCCCACCTCCATGGCAGCCAGGGTTTTACCTTGGGAGATGCCTTAGGAGATGTCCTTCTGCAGCTGAAGGTCCATCTGGTACCTTCATGCCCACCTGAGAAACGCTTCAGCTTCATCCAGGTCTTCAAAGCAAACCTGCCCATGGGCAGCTGCAGAGCTGGCTCATGTTGCACCCACTGAGAGGGGACACACAGCCCACCAGATCTGGGGGAAAACACACTTTTATACCCCCATCCTACCTGAATCCTCCAGCCAGCCTGTTCTGTCCCGTGCACAGAGGCAGCTTAACCCACATCCCTCCCACACAGGCTTAAGGAGCTCAGCCCTGATGTAACTGGAGTTTGCAGCTGCAAACAGCTGGGCAGAGCTTCAGGCTGTCGGGGATGACACCTGGCTGGGCTGATCAGTCCTTGGGAAGGATTTGGGCTTAAATTAAATTAAAATAGAGAGCATTAAGCAAAGGTGGATTTATGGTTTGGAAGTTGGAGCAACCTGAGGAGGCTGGGCACCACTTGCCAAAGGCTGAGAGTTGAAGTCACTTCGATTCCTTTAAAAGTCCTGTCCTTTGGCTCTTTTTCCCAGTGTTTTTAGGAACGATCTGTCTGCCAGGAATTGTTTTGAAAGTAATAAAACAAAAGTCTCTGGCTCTTCTAATCCGTAAGTGCAAAAGGGAAGATGCAAGAAGCCAGAGCTCAGACAAAGCCTAACTCTTTGTTTGATTGGATTTAGCAGGAAGATTATTTCCAGTCTCAGTGGCAGGTTAATGGAGTCACCCGGGCTGGAGCCAGAGGAGATTTATTGTTTGTGGAGTCTCATCCTCACACTGAGGCTCGGACTTGCCAAGTGTCTCCAGTGCTCTGGATGGTCTGGTTTTAAGGGATAAAAGGGTTGGAGTGTCCAGGTGGATCTGGGCTGTACAGAGCCCAGCGGTGGAGCTGCTGTCACAGCACCCTTGTGGCTCCCCAGGTGGGCTCCAAGCTCCAAGCCCGTGGGGTGGATGAATCTCCTCCCTTGTCTCCATCCTGGACTGAAGTTTCCAATTCCGGGAATACACAGCCAGAGGTGCTGCTTGTCTGGGTGGGTACAGGTGCCCTCGGGCAAAACGGGACTGTGGGCAGGAGCAGCCCCTGCTGGGTATCCCGAGGAAGAACATCCATCGCCTGAGGAGCCGAAATGGCTCTGCCCTGATGATGTTCTGCCCCCAGACAGGTTTAAGAGGAGACAGAAATCCTGTGGGGAAGGTCTGTGCAGGAGAGGACAAGGAAGAAGGAGGGCTGGGGTTTTTGGGAAGTGTTGGGTGCAACCCCACAATATCGTGGCTCTTTCCCAGGCTCTGCCTGCCAGGTGGGAAGTGTAGGGAAGGTAACTCTGGTTTAGACTCAGCACTAACTGACTCGGTTTCAGTGCCTCGGGCAGGCTGGGCTGTGGGCAAGCAAAGCTTGCCAGGGCTTGGGCACAGGGTGACAGGGCCCACAGGGGCTGCAACCCATCCAGTCAGGCAGCTGCCACTGTCCCCAGCTCAGACTTGGGCTTTGAGCCCACAGAGCCAAAACCCCAAAGCCAGGCAGGGCTGTAGCTCTGCCCCAGTGCCAGGGCAGATCACTGGGGATCACCAGGGAGGGCACTCCGTGGTAGCAGTGCATCCCCTGTGCCAGGCTTGGGGACCTCCAGAAGTTGTGGGCACCCTGATGGTGTTGCCCTTGGTGGGTGCTGGTGGAAGGGGATGGGGAGGAGCAGCACTTCAATGTTCCCAAGTAAATCCCACAGCCCGTGTCTGCAGCACAGTAGCGATCCCAAAGCGTGCCCCTGTGCCTGGAAGATGGAAATGAGGTTTGGGCAGGCAGCCTGAGAGCAGCCAGCCTGGCTTTGGTTCCACACAGCTGCCAGCCTTGTCTCTTGGTCCTCAGTCCTCAGAGGGGAAACCTGTTCTCAGGGGCTGCCCATGAGCCACTCTAAGCAAGAGACTTGGAGCCTGGTGCCGTGCAGCCACGGGAGGGGGTTGGAGCGGCTCCCGGCTGATCTGGCTGATGGCTCTGGGATTTCCAAGCTAACAGTGACACCTCCTGTTTGAAGCACAAAACCCAGCTCGAAGCCCGGGCAGTGCAGTGCAGGTACCGCTCGGGAGCACAGGGGCTGCTTCACTGCTCAGATCTGCTTGTTTGCGTCCAGAAAACTCGAGACCTCTTCCACGTGTGAAGAGGGGACCTGTGGGGACGAGGCTGTACCTATGTGTGGGGAGAGCTGGGCTGTACTGGTGGGTGGTGGCAGGGGAAAGGCTGCCAAAGTGGGCATGAACCAAGGTGCTGAATGCAAACAGCTTCAAAAAGAGCAGCTCTTTGAATTGTAATTAGTTATAGAGAGGCAAAAGCTTTTGTATAACGGCATTAAAGAGGCAAAATTTATTTAAAAATCTTGTTTTCTCCCCTAAAAACAGCCTTAGAATCATAGAATACCCTGAGCTGCACCCAGTGGGGTCCAACTCCTGGCCCTGTACAGGACCGGCCAGGTGTCAGCATCATCAGCTGGTTTCCAGCAAGAGTTTAGAACTGACTGTGCCAGGAGGGATCCCCTGGAGGTGGGATCCCCTGGAGATGGGATCCCCTGGGGGTGGGATCCCCCTGCTGTTGAAGTTGAAGAGCTGGTTGAAATTGAGGCTAGTTGAAGACTAGCTGAAGCTGAGGAGCTGGCTCCCTCACTCCAGGCTCACTGAGAGATTTGTCCCCCAGCCCTTCCTGTGACACCCTGGCACTTCCCTTGGCACTCCCCCTCCCTGACTCCCCCGACTCCCTCTTCCAGGCGTCCAAGATGTCCCTGAAGGTGCAGACGAGCAACATCACGAACAAGAATGACCCCAAGTCCATCAACTCGCGGGTGTTCATCGGCAACCTCAACACGGCCGTGGTGAAGAAGTCGGACGTGGAGACCATCTTCTCCAAGTACGGGCGGGTGGTGGGCTGCTCCGTGCACAAGGGCTACGCCTTCGTGCAGTACTCCAACGAGAGGCACGCGCGCGCCGCCGTGCTGGGCGAGAACGGCCGCGTGCTGGCCGGACAGACCCTGGGTGAGTAGCTCCTTCCGCCGCTCCGGGGTGCCCCGGGGGTGGGCAGCGCGGGGCGGTTGTCCCGTGGATGAAACGCGTCCTGGAGTCCTTCCCGGGGAGGAGCCGGGCTGCGGTCGCAGCCTCGGGGTTAGCACAGAACCAGCTGGGTTGGAAAAGACCTCTGTGAGGTCGTCGAGTCCAGCCTTTGACCCAACACCGCCTTGTCACCCAGCCCGTGGCACTGGTGGCACATCCAGTCTCACCTTAAACGCCTCCAGGGATGGTGAATCCACCCCCTCCCTGGGCAGCCCATTCCAAGGGCTGAGCACTCTCTCTGGAAAAAACTTCTTCCTAATGTCCAACCCCCAGCTTAAGCTGTGCCCTCTTGCCCTAATACTGGTTGCCTGAGATCAGAGCCCAACCCCCACCGGACTCCCCCCTCCTGTCAGGGAGTTGCAGAGTTATGTCAACGTTTTGAATTTAAGGAATTACAGAGATGGGATTGAACCGCTTTTGTCCCGCAGGTTTTAATGACTGGCAAAATGAGAACATCTATATAAAATGAATCATTTATCATTACAAGTGGTCAGACAAAAGATCTTGATCAGAATTATTTGCCACACGATATAAAAGCTAAAACTACCAGCAGTAAGATAAGATAGGACAGTGCACTATATTGAAGCAATTACTGAAGCAGTTATATTAAAGCTGGCAAATAGAAATAAGTATTAAGTAGGGATTTGCTGTAACTCCCCCAGACCAGTGTTTTTGGGAAGATCCTTTCTCTCGACCTCCAGGAGTGTCCTTTGGGGGAATCCCCACCCAAGGGAGGAATCTCCACTCACACACCCCCAGGAAGGGCTCTGGTGGAAGAACCTGCCTGTGTGAAAGGGGACTGGACTTTTATGGTATAAACTGATTGACTGCCAGTCACAAATTTCCAGGCCAGCCACCAGCTGATCTGTCACATCCAAGTTCAAACAGCAGGGTGTGTGTTTGGAGTTTGGTGGACCAGGCTGGTCTTAGCACGAGTCAATGCCAAAAACAGCCCCGTGGCACCAGCAGTAACTCAGCACAGAGAGCTGGCACTGTTTGCATTCTCTGATGGGACTCCAGGCCTTATCAGGGTAGTGTATCCTGTTCCCCAGTTCCACAGGGGGTGCCCAAGGGATGGCCATCCCAGGTCAAGCTTGGTCGTGGATCTGCAGATGGTGTCCCGTGAGGTGAGCAGGTCAGAGGTGACCCGAGCAGGGCCCTGGTGACAGGGCAGGTCTGGGGCAGGGCCAGCAGGATCCGTGGCTGGGGCAGAGCTGGAGACCAGCACTCCAACACCACCACCCAGGCAGGGGCCAAAGGCTCCTGTGTGGAATGGGGTCAGAAATGAAGCCACTTCATGGCCAGTCAGACACATCAGGGCCCTCAGGGCTTTGACATTGTGGCCCAAAAAGTCACGTGTGGGCTGTGATTGTAGAGGCTGAAGCACAGTTCTGGATCTTCCCATGTCCTTGTCCTGGAACTGATGGGTGGGCAAAGACATTGCATAGTATCAAAGAAAGGACAAGGAGAAATGGCTTCAAACTGACAGTGCAGGGTTAGAGGGGACATTAAGAAGAAATTTTCCGCTGTGAGGATGGCCAGGCCCTGGCACAGGTTTGCCCAGAGAAGCTGTGGCTGCCCCTGGATCCCTGGAAGTGTCCAAGGCCAGGTTGGACAGGGCTTGGATGGAGCAACCTGGGCTGGTGGAAGGTGTCCCTGCCCATGGCAGGGGGTGGAATGAGATAGTTTTTACGGTCCCTTCCAACCCAAACCATTCCATGATTCAATGATTCCCTTCCTGGCCCAGCCCTTACCCTTAGCCTGTCAGGGGAGGTGACAGTCTGACTGGGCCCAGCTCAGCCCAATTTTAGCCAGCTGGTGCTAAATGAGAGAACTTCCCCCCCAGGCTGCTCTGCTGCGGGATAAGAACTAACTAGCAAAGCCGCCGGGCTGCTCCCTGCTTTGCATATTGCTCTGAAGTGTCTCATGCTGAGAAGCTCTTGTCACCAGCTCCAAGCTGAGAATTGGAACTGGAGACAGTATTTTTAATGAAAAATGGTGATTTCCAAGCAGGCAGTGGCCACTGGCCACCGGGGAAAGCAATTTGCAGCCCATTCCCACCTTGCTTCTGGCACAGCAGTCTGAAATGAGAAGTTTCCTGCTCGAGCTGATGTGTGAAACAATGTGCTGCCTCAGCTGGGGTTTATCTGGAGAGGAGAAACTTCTTTCTACTTCTCCGATGGTCCAGAGAGTGGAGCTGCAGCCCAGGCCAAGCACATGAGCCAGGGATGCTTCCAGCCCGGGTGGTGCCCACATGTGCAGCCTGTAGGTAGGATGGGGAGGGCCTGGGGGGGGGGAAAGGAGCTCCTTGTGATGCTCCACAGAGGTACAGGAGACAGGCAGCACTTGGCCATTTAGCTGAAGAGAGGGATGAAAGGTTTGCAGTGATAGAACCTCTCTCTCTGCTCTCAGTGCTGGTCCCAGAGCTCTGGCATTCCAAGGCAAGGGACTGTTTTAGAGCTGGGTGTCCTCTGCATGTCCTGGACAAGGTGGAAATTCAGCTCCTTTTCATCTGCCTTCCCTTCCTGGGCCACTCTTGCCACTGAAGAGCCCAGCAGGCTTCCCTTTGCTGCCCATGGGGCAGTGTAAACACTGGGATATTCCCCTTCCAGGAGAACCCAGCAGAGAAGGGCTGAACAGTGTGGCTGGAAAATCAGGGTTGAAAGTTCTGCCACTTCTTCTTTGGTTTTACTTACTCTTCTTCCTTTGTCACCAGCAAAGCAATCAAACTTGCATTCTAAAGGATCGACAAGTTACTGAGAGCATCACAAACGGGGGTGTTTGGAACCACAGCTGCAGCCCCTCCTGTGCTGGGACATGGACTGCTCTGCCAGGCAGGTCCTGGCGACCTCTGTGCCTTCTGCAGATGCTCCCAGACTCCCCAGTCACTGCAGGAGGCAGGTGCCATTGCTGGGGGGAGCTCTGCACTGGGAGCTGGACCCACACCATCCCCTCACCCTGCCACGTTGGCTGGACAAAGCACAACCTCCCCATTTACTGTGGGAACAAGTGCCTGGATTTGAGCAGGAGGGATCAGCACTGCCTTTGGGTGGGCAGGTGGATTCAGGGATGCAGAGGAGGGAACCAGAAAGGGAATGATACGCAAAATCTGGCCTGGGTGATGTGAAGGCTGAGCTTTTTCACTGTCAGGGGAATCCTGTGGGATCTGAGTGCCCATCACCACTAGAGCTGAGAGGACGAGTGCCCTGCTCTGGCTGCATGTGGCTGTGGAGGCTCCACGGGGCTCTTGGTAGCAGTGGGGACCAGCAATTGTTGTCCTTCTGCAGCTTTGGGCTTTCGCTGCCTGTCCCCTGAAGGTGTTGCTCAGCCTGATGCTGTAATTACCTCCCCAGCTCACCAGAGAAATGAGTGGCAGCTGGCAAGATGCACCCTGACAGCAGAAAGGGTTCACAGCCAGGGAACTGGGGCTGGCCAGGGTTCTGGGATGCATGAAGGGAGACTTCATTCCTCTCTCCCTCCCAGCAAACAGCCCTGCCAGGGGCGCTGTGTGACTCAGCAGGCTCAGGAAGGTGATGGTGTGCCTGATGTTCACACTGGCAGCAGTTGGCCATGGCCCTGCCCTGCACAACAAGGCCATGTCCAGCCTTGTCAGCATTCAGCTCAGCTCTCCTGCACCCCCATGAGCGCTGGGAATGGGAGGATGGAGGGACAGAGGGGCAGCAAGGAAAACACACACTGTGATCAGAACGTTCCAGAGGAACACTCGGTGTGAGGGCTGAGCTCCAGCCTCAGCAGGAGTGGTCTCTTGGCAGACCCTGACAGGCAGCCCAAGGAATTGCACAAGGCATTTGGGCAGTGGGAGCGTGTCTGTGCTCCTCCAGAGCCGTGTTCCACACGTGCAGCCTTGTCCCACCATGCTTCTCCTGCTCAGCTCGTTCCAGCAGTGCTGCTGCTGCTCCTGAAGGTGATTTTCTTGGTTAATAACAAAAAGTCGGTAGAATGTTCCTTTGGGTCACTTTGCAGGGGCTTTGTTTTATGGTGTGTGGACCAGCCTGTCCACATTTCTCCATAAAGTGCCTCCACACAGCATGAAAAAAAAGAAGGTTTAAATGGCCTGATGAGCTAAAACCTGTTTGGATGCGCCGTAAGCTGCAGGTGGCAGAAATCAAGGGTTGCTAAAGAAACACTTCCCTGTGAGGGTGGGCAGGCCCTGGCACAGGTTGCCCAGAGAAGCTGTGGCTGCCCCATCCCTGGAAGTGTCCAAGGCCAGGTTGGAGCAACCTGTTGTAGTGGAAGGTGTCCCTGCCCATGGCAGGGGGTGGCACTGGATGAGCTTTAGGAGAAGATCCCTTCCAACCCAAGTCCCTCACCACCCTCACAGCAAAGAATTTCTTCCTAATCTCCAATCTAAACCTGTTCTCTTTCAGTTTGAAGCCATTCTCCCCTTGTCCTATCACTCCGTACCTTTGTAAAATGTCCCTCTTCAATTACTGTCATGTTTATTCTCATGTCAGAAATGTCTGGCTCTGAGGCCAAGGAGAGAAATGCCCTCAGTGGATTAGAGGAGCTCACTCTCCCCTCCCCTGGTGGAAGATGCTCCTTTGAGATGAGCTTTTACCACAGCCCAACCCCCAGCAGTGCCCTCCTGGCTCCTGCTGAGCTTTCCTGGTCCTTCCAGAAGGAGCCAGGGATGGATTGCCAGCAGTCATCAAGGTGCAGCAGGTTTATATATTGCCTGTGCTTTATCACAGCAGCACCAAGTTCTCCCCAGAACCTTGTTCTGAACCTGTGTGTGGATCAGAGCACGGGCAGGGCCTTGACTGCAGAGTGATTGGTTGTTGGCTTTGTGAAGGAAAAGGAGGAGGTTTTTCCAAATGCAAGAATTTGCCTTCTTGTGGAGGTCCGGCAGGCCCCCAGCTGTGCCAGAAAGCGGGTGGAAACGGGGTGGGAGGTGTGGAGGAGCCCTGGCAGGGGCCTCTCTGCGTGGCCAGGGTGGATTGCAGGTGAGCAGGGCCGTGTCACAGCTGTGTGTCCCTTCCTTGCAGATATCAACATGGCTGGGGAACCCAAACCCAACAGACCCAAAGGGCTCAAGAGAGCAGCCTCTGCCTTGTACAGGTAGGTCTCCACCACATCACCTCCCTTCCACAAGGTCTCCAGGTTGGTCCTTGCCCACTGCCCTGAGCATCCTGCTCCCCAGCCCCAGTCCCTGGGACATCCAGGGCTCCTCCCAGGGCTCCTCCCAGGTGCTCCTGGTGCTTTCCAGTGCCCTCAGGGCTTGGCTGAGGGGAGGAGAACCAGCACAAGGCAGCAGTGGCTGCCCCAGGGTTGGCCAACCCTTGTGATGTGCTGGGACTCTGCCTGGGCAAGGTCCTGGAGCTGGTTGGAAAGGGTGGGCAGGACCTGCTTTCCCCACATCAGAGGCCTTGAAAGAGGGGCACCAAGACAGAGAAAGGAAGAGAAGAAAAGAAGAAAGTGGGAAGCCCTTGAGGTGTCCGGGGGAAGCCCCAAGGGAGCCTGGTTTGAGGAACAGTGACCAAGGGAATGTGAGGCACAAATGGGACACTGAGCAGGTCTGTGGGGGAGGTAGAACATTACAGATGTCAAAATGAGCCTTCAGCTCTTGAGACTTCACCACAATTTTCACAAGAAGTGAAGATTTTCATTTAAGCCCCAGACTGGAGTCAGGGGAGTGTGGGAGAAGCTCATTAAGTTTTTTGCTCCTCTGGTTGCAGAGGGGAAAACTTGAAAAGGTATTTGAAGAGTGCCCTGCAGGTTCAGGAACCCAAAACCAAATAACAAGATCCCCAAATGTGCTTTATTTATAAATTCTCATTGTTTTGATGCCAATCTCGTGGTGTGGAGACTGGGGAGCTGAGTCAGGAGGCAGAAGGTGTGACTTTGGGAAGGAAAGACTAAAATGAGTATCAGGATTATAGGTGGCACAGACAGACCCACCTGAGCCCCAAGAGCCCTCCCACCACCCACAGGGCATCTGTGGAGACCTTCCACAAGTCTCAGCTGAGACTTGGCAGCTTTCAGGCAGATTTTGCCTCCCATCTGGGCCAGTTTGGACCTTCACCAGGACGTGGCCCTCTGGATTCCCCCTTGAGGGGAGTGAGGCTCTGCATTCCCCACACTGATGGAAACAGAGGTGACACAGATCTGGCTGTTTGTACAGCGCATGCCCAACTCAGGTGGGGCTGGGCCAGAACACACATCAGCTCCTTCCATCCATCATGCACTAACGAGCATTTCATTCCCTGCTCAGCCATGCCTGGAGCTCTGATCCCTGTCTGTGGAATGCCCAATATTCCAGACTTCCAGGCTGCTGAGAGAGAGCAAACAAGAGAATGTTTGTTCCCTCCCACAAATATGGAAATGCTAAAAGATGGGCCAGAGAACTGCACTGCTCTGAGCACCAGCAATATTTCATCTCAGACTTGGCTGTCAGATTTAAACTTTGCCATCTGGACTAGCAGAACTTCCCACGTCCCCCAGGAGGCAGGGAATGCAGGTTTGCAGGGAGATGTGGTTACAGCTTCCTGAACCACCATCCATTTTTCTAAATGTTAGACTTCCAAAAAAATCCCAGCACCATCATTTGTAGCAATGCTGTGTTAAACACAGCACGGGAGTTTTCCTGGATTTGTGCTGGAAGAGCTGCCCTGTGCTCAAAGCCTGATTCCAAAGGTGCAGCTAAAAGCATCCAGGCACTGCCTCCCTGGCGTTGTCTGTTAAGCTACAACTGACTGGGATGTTATAGCAGGGTCAGACAGCCACAAACTTATTCCCTTTTTACTCCCTTGTTATTCCCTTATTTTCTTATTATTCCCTCATTCCAGCCTGCTGCCTTCCCTGAAGGCTGTCCCATGGTCAGCAGGTGCTGGAGCATCACTGCCAGAGGCTTTTGGGAAGTCAGGACCAGCTCCCCAGCATAATTATGCCTCTAATTGCCTTTGAAGCAGGTGGAATTGTCTCCAATCCCACAGAAACTCAGGCCAGTTCCTCCCACCCTGGTGCTTTGCACCCCCAGATGTTCTTGGTGCCCCACCCTGCAGTCCAGGCATGGGGTGACCCCTCCACTGCCTCTGTAAACACACTGCAAAATCCAGGAGTGATTCCCAGCAGGAAAATGCAAGGCTGCCCTCTTTGGCCACACATTCCCATGGAAATAGGGAATAACATTTACTGGGTTCATTGGCCACTTCATCCAGCAAACTGCTGTTTGACTAGTTTTGGAAAAAGCTGGGGAGTTCACCTGAGCTTTCAGGCTTCTCCGTCCTTCTCCAGTCCACACCAGGTTGGATCTACAGGTATTTGAGGCCAGGATTTATCCTGTTGGTGCTGGAGCTGAGCCTGGGAGTGAGGTGGAGGTGCCCAAACACAGGGTGGGGTCAGTAATGGAGAGCAGATGGGGTTGGAGCTTCCCAACCAGGATGGGGCTTCCCTGGGGAGCAAAGGCTTGGAGGAAAAGCTCCTGGAGCGTGAATGGGGTCAGGAGAAAGGAATGTGGCCATTTCAGAATCTTGCCAAATATCCCCAAGCTTTGTGCTGTTTATGAACAAATGCCCTAAAGCTGCCTCATGGTCTCCAAGCCACAGAGAACTTCCTAACATGAACCACTCCCCATGGAAGGGGTTTCTGCTGGGAATAAAGACACTGATTGTGGAGAGACACCACTGTTTTCTCTTGCCTGTGGCTACAGAGAGCATTGGCTCCAAGGCATTGCTGGAGTAAGTCAGAAACACTTCACCAGAGCCTGTCAGGATTGAAAATATAACAAAATTGCAGCAATTTCATTTGAGTGAATCTAAGGAGGGGGGAAAAAAAATTGAAGAGGGGGAGTCTGACAACGTAGAACCATCCTGGTTCAATTTTCCTTTCAAATGACTTCCTATTTTGATGGTGTTCTGTGTTTATTGGATTCAAACAGGACTGGAGTCAAACAGCCTCGGTGATCAGGATAGATTGGCAGGCTGAGGGGAGCTGCTTTCTTGGAGATTTTCTGTATCTCCAGGTTTCATCTGAGGTTAGAAAGAAAATCAGATTACCAGTCACAGAAACCTCATGAAGATCCATCTCGTTCCATGCTGCCCCTCTCCTCAGCCACACAAACAGCTGGGGTTTTTTCCCAGCAGGAGAATTAACCTTCCCCTTGCAATTCAGAAGAGGGAATGAACAAACATCATGCAGTGGTTGGGACTGAGGCTGCAGGATATTCCTCTGAGCCCAGCAGAAATGTTGGCCCCAACTCAGGTCAGAAGGGGAGGGCACCAAGACTGAAAGGAATTCGAAATTCGCCTGTAAGGCTGTCAAAAATGGCTATTTGTCATCAGAAATTGGGAAGGGTTGTGGTGATAACACATAGAAGGGTGTGGTGGTGGCAGCAAACCCCACAGGAGGCAGTAGGTGCACAAGCCTTGTCCTTAGCCCCTCACACCAGCTCAGGGGTCCCAAGGGAGCGCTGGTGTCTCCAACCACCCACACTGTGCTCAAGGCCCCCTGAGGCACAGACTGAGTCTCCACGTGTGCCACAGGTGTCTGGGGAACGCCAAAGAGCATCCAAGGAACATGGAAAAATCCCATTTAAGAAATCAGCCAGTACCTGAAACTCAACAGTGGCTGTGAAGCCCAGACCCCTTGGGTCCAGCCTGGAATTCCTGGTCCAAACCAGGCTTCCCACCAGCCTTTCAAGCCAGCCACACATTCTTCTTGTCACTTCTTCTTTAGATGCTGGACACCAAATTTACTCTCAGCTACACACCTGAGTGCTCATCCTTCCCTCTGCCCATCCCCAGATCCTCCTGGCTCAGAGTCCTTCCCTTTTCCCATCAATATATTGTTTTTATAAGCCAGTTCAAGGAGTTTCAGGAAGCAGGACAGACTCTCTGTTTTCAGGGGTTGCAGCAGCCATTCTGTTTGTTGGGAGCAGGAAAGGGGGGACTGTCAGCATCACTCCTGACCTGCCCAGGCTGCCTGAGAGCCTCAGCACAGCAGGGAAATGGGGCAGCTGGGGCATCCATAGCCCCCAGAGCGGCTCAGACCACCTGCTCTGTGCTGCCTTGGGAAAAAAACAGCTGCAGCAGGAGGGAAAAACAGTTACTGGATGTCCAGGGAGTGGGAAATGTTCTGACTTTGGGTTAAAATGCAGCTCAGGCTTAAGAAAACGGGCTGTGGGCGTTGTCTGGCTGGGGGTAGGAGAGGTTTAAACACCTTTGAAAGCAAAGATGTTAAATTAATATCCTTCCTGACCTCTGTCCCTGCACACCTTGAGAGAACCAGGTTATAACACTCTGCTGCCATCACCCCTCTCTCCAGTGCCTTAACCCCCCCCAAATCTTCCTCCTGGGCTCAGCCCAGGTCTCTGCAGCCCTTGCAGCCGGGAGGACGAGGGTCCATGTCCTGCCAGGTGAAAGGACAGAGGGGCCCTTATGGAAGGGGAGCCATTTCTTTATCCTTTCTGCTGCTGGGGGTGCTGAGCAGGCAGTGAGGGAGCAGTGCTGATGAATGCCCAGCAGGGATGAACCTGTGCTCTCCTCACTGTCTCTGCAGTGGCTACGACTTTGACTACGACTATTACAGAGACGACTTCTACGACAGGTGAGCAGGGGAAGGTCAGCCCAGGGAGGGGGTTCTGTGGGGTAAGACCTTCCCTGCAGTCTGGGGGAGGGAGGTGGGTGCAGGGTGGTCCAGCCCAGCCCCATGGTGGGTTCTGATGGCCAGGCTGTGCCCTGGGTGTCCACCAGCACCTCTAGGGCTCCAGCCGGGTGTCAGGGCAGGGCTGGGGGTGCTGCAGGGCTGCTTCACCCCCTCCATCCTTCCCCCCCAACTCCAGGCTCTTCGAGTACCGGGGCAGAGTGTCCCCCGTGCCCAGGGTGGTCCCCGTGAAGAGGCCCCGGGTCACCATCCCCCTGGTGCGGCGCGTGAAGGCCTCGCTGCCCGTCAAGCTCTTCGCCAGGTCGGCCGCCATCGCCAACAGCTCAGCCAAGCTCAAGTGTGAGTGTGGCAGGGGGGGTGGATGATGCCCCAGAGGGGTGGGGATCAACCAGGCCAAGTGCCGGGTCCTGCCCTTGGGCCACAACAAGCCCCGGCAGCCCCAGGGCTGGGACAGAGTGGCTGGAGAGCAGCCAGGCAGGAAGGGAGCTGGGAGTGTGGAGGGACAGGAGCTGAACATGAGCCAGAGTGTGCCCAGGGGGCCAGGAGGGCCAAGGGCTCCTGGCCTGGCTCAGGAACAGTGTGGCAGCAGGAGCAGGGAGGTGATTCCTGCCCTGCACTCAGCGCTGGGGAGGCCACCCCTGGAGTGCTGTGTCCAGCTCTGGGCCCTCAGCTCAGGAAGGACATGGAGGGGCTGGAGCAGGGGCAGAGAAGAGCAACGAGG